GGTAGTGGAGCAAATTCTGAAGATGAAAGACAGCAGACAAATTTAAACTTCAGAGATCAGGCACTACTACACTTACTATTTTATTAAATGCAAGGGTCATGTAAGTAAAACTAAAAGCATTCAAGCCAACAGAAAACACTTGTTTGTCCCAGAGATCACAGAGATCGTAAACACAAGCACATTTGCATCAGAAAATCAGGCAGTAACACAGACCAAAAAGGAGGTTTAGCACCAAATAAGGAGGGAACAGGGATCCGTGCACGTGCGCTCACAACTACCTTGTGAGGGTGTTCGAAGGAGACTTGGAAGTTGAGCTGTCGGAGGATGAGGAGCTCACACTGCACCACGCTGTCCCTCAGGTTCCAGAACTCCTTGTCACATTCTAAAGGAGTACTGCCACTGTTGAAATACCTGAAAGGGTGGAGGAGAGCATTTAAGGTGACAGCTCCAAAAACTGAATGGTTAAACTGCCTGGTAAAGAATTTGTTATTTAATGTATCCACTTCCATAAAAGTGTGATGTGAAATGTAAAATAAAACAGGATTCACAGTTGCCTGCTCATCCAGCTGAGCTAAACTGGTGCCCGCCCACATGTTTTTAAAGCACTGGGACAAGAGCCTGGAAGGGTTGTGCTTTTTTTTTTAAAAAAAAAAGGATGTCCATTTATAGCATGCTTGTCTACTTCAGTTTAAGAGCAATATGTGCTGTATGTGTAGATGATATTTCCTCAGAAAAATTAGTGCCAAACTACATAATACATATGTTGCATGTGCAGAGTGGAGTTCAGGTTTTTTTAAGGCACAGGGAAAATTTCAGTGAATGCAAATATTGAAACAATCAAAAGCTTCAGAACAAGCCACTATGTGGAGGAGTGGGACTGGCAACTTTTAACTTGGCTTAATTTTTAACAGAAATACTTTTTATTATTATTCATGTTGATGTTGTTGTTTTTTTCCACTTTTTAATATGTCTACTCTTAAGTTAATGTGTTTTCTCCATGCATTTTCTCACACATGAGTGGGTTAGAGCCTGTCCAAAGTCATACTTTAAGAAAATCAGGGTACCAAGTGCAGATCCCAGAAAATTAACATACTTTTGCACTTTGTTTTATGTCTTATTTAAATGTATGTTTATGACTGGAGACTGAGTATATTCTGGTTTTGCACTTGTTGATGGGACAGAGTCTTATCTAAAAATATTACCTTGGGCTTTACAAGCCTTCCTTTACAAGGCTATTTTGTTTTTACTCTTGTGATGTTTTTCAGACCAAACCATTTATTCAAGAAAAGCAGACTACTCATTAAAAATGATTTATTAAATGTTTGGGGCTTTTTAATGTCCCTCTCCATAACAAAAAGAGTTCAGAAAGACAAAACACAACCTTTTTGTTCTCAAGCAAAGTCAAATATCTAAGAGGCTCTGTTAGCAAGAAATTGTTTTTCTCTCAGCAGTGAGGTTAAAATGTCGATTATACACTCCACCTTTTAAATTATTACCTGTGGCTTACATTGATGATATCACGGGTCCTGATGTGCTGCTCCTCCACTTTACCAGCCAGGTACACACAGCTCATGGCCACTAGGTAGGGTTCATAGGCATGGATACTGACCCTCTCAAAGAAACGATGATAGAGCACACATGCTGTAGCCACGGGCACCGAGTGCATGCAGAGTTTCACTCCTGAATAACAGAGGAGGGGGTAAGATGTAGGTCTTTAAGGGCACACTAATGTTTTATCATCTTTAGCTGACTGATTCACACCTATTTTTACCCGCTGTAATCCTGAAATGCAGTTTCAGTTCACATTACTATTCGTTTGAAATCCCATTAAATCAACAAATCAAAAACCAGGAAAGAATACATAATACTGGACACATGTTTCAAAAACCTTAAACCTTGACTTTCTTAAAGAGAACCTGCTCATTTCCAACTCAATATTTTTTTTTCTTGAATTCTCGTAAAGAAGCTCTATATGATTTAAAATTTCAAATAGTCCTTATTTAGATTTTACTGGGTCTCAGCACAGCATTCATACGCTGTGTGAAACAGACTGTCTTCCCCCTTTAAGCTTCAGAGCAATGGGAGATGACTATTATAGGGAACTCCGATATCTCTCACTGTCATCAGACAGAGTGTAGAGCAAAATTATTTTGGCTCATTCTTTGATACTATGGTGATATGAACATCTACCACTGGAGCAATGTATTTGAAAGAAAATAAAGACGAGCATAAAATGTGTTCTTTAATTTATCATTACACCAAAATAAGCAATCACTTGCCTTATGTCAAAAACTAAATGTCAATGGGAGCTGCTTAATCACGGGTGTGATCACATGTGTCAGAAAGTGAGGACCATTTCAGGAAAAAGGCTGATTAGTCTTTCTAAATTTCTGGCACCATATATCTAATTTTATAGATGCCCATTTCCACTTGGTAGAAAAAAAAACATGATATAAATAAAAACAAACAAAAAAAACAAAAAACAATAATGCATACTTTAACCATCTAGATCTAGATCGTAGGGCAGCAAAGGTTAGTCAAAATCTATGTTTTCACTGAGTAAGTACATAGACAAAGTATTGTCCTATAACGAAACCTCTTTTTTTCCAGGCTTAGACAAAATACAAAAGATGAACGTAGACAGTGTTAGCACTTTGCCCGCTGCCTCGTTGTTTATTTGAGACAGAACTGGCTATATTTAGACCGGAAGATGCAGCGCTGAGCTCAAACAGAAAATAGGAAAACAAAAATTATTATGGTTTTTTGGTGTGCTGTATATTCTTAGCAAACCATAGTCTTTATTAGATATAATATACATACAGATATAACAATAAAATTTTATAATAGAATCAAGATGAGCACCTCTGTACAGTTGTAATGAGGGGAGTGATTAACTATAGAGACCAAAAGCATTTTTTGTGAACATGTTTACCATGCATTGCTGAATTCAGGCATTTAAACATGGGTTTCTAATGTTCAAAACACTCTTAAGCACAATGAAGTGGGTAAGAGGGGAGGTGTCAAGGGGAATGGGGGGGGGGATTTGAGACAAGAGCAAGAGTAAAATTTACAAGAAGCTAGTGAGACCTGCTATGATGTAAGGTTTGGAGATGGTGGGACTGAAAGAAAGATGGGATGCGGAGCTTCAAGTGGCAGAACTGAAGACGTTAAGATATTTACTAGGGTCCACCATGATGGACTCACTTAAATGTTTAAAGTGTGTGTCTTTTAACTTGACACAGGGTTATTAACTTCTCATTAGTGATCATGATTGACTATAACTTGTAGTTAATCTTGACCAGCATAAAAAGGATTTCTTTGACAGCAATAACTGGAATGTATTCAGAACAAAGGGAAAGTACTACAACGTGTGACGCAGAAGTGTACATTTACACAAGTTGGGAATGTCTCTTGGAGACATTTATGAATAACTGTGCTTTCAGTATAATCAGTTCAGACAATTGTGCATAAGTACACGTTATTCAGATGTCACCACTTCGCCAAGTCTGGAGGAAAACCCAAATGAGACAAAATTGGTTACGATGTTCGCAAATAACCCAGGAACCAACTAGGCTCAAGCCAACAATGAAACTTTCAAGCTCAGCTGAAATTTAATGCTGCTCACATGGTTGCCTCTTTAGGCATTTGACTTTAGGCATTTAGCTTTTTGGACAAAATAACAAGAGATCGTTTTGAGGAGTAAAGGTGGAGCTTTCAAACCTAAGAACATTGTACCATCTTGCCAAGCATGGTGGTGGAAGTATCATGCTCTGGGGCCGTTTGTGGTGGTACGAGTTGTACTGGTACATTGCACAAAATAGGCAGCATTATGAAGAAGGAGGACTACCTCCAAACTCTTCAACTTCAGCACACCTTAAGGGCTAGCTGGCTAGCTAAAACTTTGATAATAACTGAGTGTTACAACAGAACAGCGATCTCAAACACATGAAACCAATTAATAAAAATGAACAACTCACTTTTTTTTAAAACTTTTGATACAACTGATGACGTAAATCAGCTGATACATTAATCTGAATTCATTATATATATTTTTTTAAATCAAAGACTTTACTTGTCATTCCTAGCAGGTAAGACTTGATAAGTTTACTTTATAGCCCTGACAACTTGCTCTTCGAACCCTCTCTCACACTCACACACAGACCACCCCTGGATTACCTGTCTCCATGATGAAACGACAAACGCGAAAGTGTTTCGTGTCAAGGCTCGGGTCAGCCGCTATATCCCCACCAGAGTCTCTCCTTCCAGCAACGCGCAGAGATGCGGTCGAGTAAGCAGATGGTCCCTGCATGTCTAGTGGAGTACAAGCAGGGGTAACCAACAATAGAAAAAAAGCACAGACTGTCTACAAGAGTCAAGAAGATGATAATTGAAGGCTGTGAGTTTCATTGTAAACTTTTAACTTACCCATCCAAAGTGCAAATTCTACGTGATATATTTATTCCTACTTTTTGAAAAACAAACATAAGATCTGCTTGTTAGTTACATATCTTAATCAACTTGTCTTCTTAGTTGCCGCTAGTAATACCCGGAAGAAAAATAGTTGGACTTCCGGTTAATATATACATATATATATATATATATATATTTTAAGTGCGTAAGAAAGAAATATGCTTTATGCAACACTCTGTGCAATCCCGTCTGCAGGAAAATAAAAACATAATTAAACGCAAGCATCCGCACATGATGTGTTTTGACATACGAAATAATTTCTACCTCATAACTTCCGTTTTAGATCTTTCAAAATAAAAGCCCCCTGAAGGCGGAACAGATCACATTTAGGCCAATAAAACAACTTGTAAATTAATCATTACAAACACGGAATCAGATAGTACTGATAAAACATGTATGAACAACAACAAAAAAAACACAAACAAAAAATAAATAAACTGTACAAACTGATTCATATGAGGGTTTTTTCAGGCCATAGTTTGTAACTCTTTTCAAATAAGCTGTTGTAGGGAGAAGTCTGTTTGTCTATATTGCTAAGCAACGAGTCAACAATTTAACAGATTAAGAAACCGTAACTTACAGATCCAGCAATGTCTTCCAGGTATTCGGCAAACCAGGTAATCTAAATAACAACGTCAATAAAAACTCTAAACATTACACATTTTACTTCTCTGTTTATGCGTTTTTAAAACTTCTATTCACAGTATGACAGCGCCTTTAAACCGCACAGGCTGCAGAACTGGTGTGAGACTAAGCACTTCAAAGAGGTATAGGAAGTTTTCAACTCTTGATCATTTCCATTTCGTGTTAGATTTAAACAAATTTGTGCAAAAATAGATTTTTACAAAGATTTTATCTCCCTCTTTGTGTGGGTATTTGCAGAGACCTAGTGCACAGGTGGGCCGTACCACCTTCATCGCTGATGATAGAGGACACCTGCTCCCAGGAGTGGGGAAGGTGAGATCACATCTTTCTTCTTTCCCCTCTTCACTGGAAGTGTCGTTTTTCACTGTGAATATATGACTTCACTCCCTCACTGCGTGTGTGTTGCTACAGAGAGGCCTTGCATGGCCTGACTTTAAAGGCACCTGGGATCTACCTGCTCGCATCCCAGGCCAGCGAATCAACCCTACCGCCCGCTCTGTGGAGGGCCTCAACAGGCTCAAATCATGGGGACGGTACCCAAAGAACGCTGACATGTCTCAGCCACACAGAGGCAGCAAAAGCACAAATAGGCAGAAGGAAACTGGCGAGCAGGTTAGAGCCACACAAACACAACAGCCTGGTGTGGTGTTGAGTGTATACTAACAATTTTTCCATCCAGACTGATGTTTTCACAAACTCTGTGCTGTTTTCACAGTGTGTTTGTCAGTCATATGACTTACCCAAAAAAAAGTTGCTGAGTACTGCTTCATCTTTCCAAGTAAATGTAATGTTTGAGCTGAATCTTGAGACTGCCTGAGCAGGTTTCAGCGAAGACTATCTTTATTTTTAACTACATGCTTTGGTACAAACATTACTGATTCACTATGATGAGTACAGAGAAAGCATATTGCTGTGAATGCTTTCATCAGCAACTACACTCATGTGAAAGAGACAATTTTCATAGGATTCAATGATATTCCATGATATATTCATTGTTCAGTAGCTTAACAAATGACCACAAAAAGAACATTCCTCTGAAAACAGTCGGGTAAAAAGACTGGATGGAAAATGAGTGAAAAAGAAACCAATATCTAAAGTAAAAGTTTAAAAAATCTTCAGAAAGCCTGGAACACTATTTCTCAAGACCACTTTAAAAATTGCAAGAAAATCTGGCTCCAGGAAACAAAATATAAAGAAATGAGTAGTGAAGACTTGTTATAGTTATGGTTGGAAAATTGTAGGTACATATTACTTTCCACAAGTCAAGGTCAAGGTAACTTTATTTATGCCCATAGGCAAGGTAAATTTTCTTCACAGAAAAATGTTAGCATTTGGCATCCCTTCAAAAACACACAATGTCAATAGAAAATTGTATTTGTTTAGTCAGTATAAGCTTTTAATGATATAAGTTTATTTGTGATAGAATGCTGCATGATGATCTTTTCCTTGCTTAGAACTGATTGTTCTTTATGAAACGTGTTCTGATAGTTGTATCTGAATCTTTCCACAGCGATAGTAAGAAGTTGAACAAGCAGTTCTGATCTTGCACACACACACACACACACACACACACACACACACACACACACACACACAACAATCACATTTTACAGGGTATCTGATTGAGTCAGATTTTTGTTCAGATGTTACATCATATCCTTAAAAATGTATTTAGTGTGTCATCAAATAGAAAAACTTTCTTTTTTTTTCTTTTTTCTTTTTTTTTTTTCCGCCTGTCCCATTTGGTTCTTTAGCCATCAGAATTGTTGTCTGAAGACCAACAAGGATACCCAATTGATTTACTTTGCCAAATGGATCATCGTGGCATTGCCGTATTGGTCCATTTGGTCGATCTTTGTTTTTATTATTTATTATATTTTATTTTCAGATGTTACAGACGGGACAGACATGAGTGATGGATAGGAAAGGGAGAAAGAAAGAGGAAGGAAAGGAAAAACAGAAGGGGAGAGGGACAGTGAGAAAGGGGGGGAGAAAAAAAATAAAAATCTCCTGGATCACCTGTTGAGAGAAGAAGAGAAAACAAGCAAAAAAAAAACAAAAAAAAAAAACAAAGCAACATACTAAACACAACACCATCGCATTAATCTAGCTAAGTGTAAACAGCAGTAAATACTAAATATTCAATGTTGTTGTGCAGCACGCAGGACAGATGTGCTTCGAAGTAGCAGCCAACAAAGGTGTAATTTGAGTCTACGAGCAGTGAACACCCGTGTGCATACCTGTGTGGATCAGCGCGCTTGTATTCCAAAGGTTTCTCCATGTAACGATCTGCTAGGGAGTGTGGGGGGGCCACAGCCCCGTCCTCCAGGGTGTGAAGCAGGTATGGAGGAGATCAAAACTCCAGACATCCAGAGGCCCCCAGAACACAAGAGACCATGGAGATCGGCATATGCTGCCATCAGAATTTCGGCCTCAAGCGCTGTAAAATACATTGACCGCGCCTTCTTTCCCTCCGTCTCCATGGTGACTCGCTTAATCTGTGCTCCGCTTATCAGGGCTTTATGTATCCTCGTCCGCGCGCTTCACTTGGGGTTAAAGCGCAACTCCGCGTTGATCTGAACTACTTGTTATCAGCCTTTCTGAAACCGAATATTCCGAGTTGGACAGTTCGGGGTTACTCAACCGTGAGTG